AGATGATAATATCTGATGATATTATGAATTTATGCCAAAGAATTGTAGTTCCCCTCTTAACTCCTCATTGCGCATGTGTTCGTTCAGTCGGTATCCTGACATAGCTCTCAGAAAGCGCATTTCCACGGCTTCCTGTATACCGTCCTGTCGTTGTGTCATTATCCAGCATGCATATTCTTAGAGAAAAAATTCCGTTGCCATAATCTTAGAGTTTTCATTCGTATCTCAGAAATTTATAATTTTTTATTGCCAGTGGGGTGGGACTAAGTCCCTTTACTGCGGCCACTTCTGGCCTATTGTACCAGCCCCAGATGATAGGTGAGGGTGATTGTGGAGCAATTGGTGGATTGAAGATTGGCAGGGGAAACCGAAGTACTCGGAGAAAACCTGCCCAACGCCACTTTGTCCACCACAAATTCCAATTGACCAGACCAGGGATCGAACCCGGGCCGCCGCGGTGGGAAGGCAGCTCCTAACCGCTTGAGCTATGGCGCGGCCCAATTTATAAAATAGAGTTACATAATTCCTATTCGCATCGAAAGCAGTTTTATCGGTAGTATCAGCAATTGAACGACGCCCTCCGAAACACACGTGCAAAGTTACAGTTGCTGTAAATCTGAATAAATATAACGACCTCCTCAGTAGTTACTCAAGGGTGCTTAGGACATTAATGCAAAGATGATTCATCATTGAAAATTCAAGACTAATTGCAAGAACCCACTTTCTTTAAAGCATGAAATAAATTTGTGGTGATTTTACTGTCCCCGTGCTACCGTCTCCATCTGTTTCTCCTCAGTTTGAAATAAGAAATTAGACTCTGGTAATGTTTACATTGTAGCGCGTAAGCCCGCTACTGGGTAACGACCTCGAAACAAACAACAAAACAAAATCCACTTCTAGGCAACAGATTCTTAATAAGCAAGTTTAGGCTGTCATCACTTAGTAGAAATTTCGCAGACAAACGTGATCACCCCGGAAACGACTGGAGTACAGCAATGAACGGTGTTTTCTGCGCGGTCCATGCCGAGGTGTTATAAGGAGGACAATTGGAGCAAGAATTCAGAGAGAGTTGTAGGAGAGTCTGTGAAGAGAAGACTTAGTCGGTGTAGTTGGAGAATCCGCACCATTAGAAGCCGTTAGCAGACGCCTGGTAGACACAGAATACTGAGGAGGCTTAAGTGTGCTGTAGTGATTTTGAAAAGTGTGGAAATTAATGATGGCGCTATGATTAAGTGTAGTTACGAGTCGTGAGTTAAACTGGCCAATAAATGTCTCCGATCCAAAACCCGCTTAGAGTCACTCCCTCATGTGACAATATTCATATTTTCACTGATATACACATATAACGATCTATGAATTCTATTCTACCACTCACCCGAATTCAATCATACCGTTCTTACCTGACTAAAGCATATTACAAATTAAAATTATTTTTAATCCTAAACAAATTCTTTTAGCCTACACGTGATTGGCAGACGATTTAATCGTTGTTTGAAGCGGACCGTACCCATTGGATGTCGATAACGTCATAAATCATAGCCAATATTATAACTGCTTGCAGACACCGCAGCATCAAATTTTAACGACCGCCGTTGTCTCGTCTGATGAACAGTTAGCAGTGGTCTCTGAGGTAGGTGATCTGTAGGGACCGGATTTTAATGCAAATGCATATTTCTTTCTTGCAACCAGAAAATATGCTCGTTTGGATATATGTATGAATTACATGATTTCTTAAATTTTGGACATGGTTTGATGGTGCATATAAATGCATATTTTGCCTGTTTTATGAATAAGCATCATATTTTCGAAGTCCGGTCCCTAGGGATCTGTCTCTTGCATTTTTTCTTATTGCTGTAGAGCAAATAACTATGGCCGATATTTGGTTTTCATCGTTAGGAATGAAGCAACGCTACGCAGTAGATGTTCCAGGAAAACTCAACAGCTGGGCCTTATAATTAGTAAGGGAAAATGGCATAAAACTTAACCCCAAACTGCATTTATTACACTAAATACAATTCAGAATACAACAGTACATCGTACCATAATCTCGAAGTCTCTTTTCTCTGTTACTGCTGATCAGCGAATAAGCCCTTTGTTTCTAACGCTCCTCGCACATGCCTATTTTACTAACTAAACACTGCTGTGTACTGTGTGTAGTCACATTGCTTACCGGGTAAATGTACGAAGATTTGAGCCAGTCTGCGCATATTTCATATCTGGTTAGTATCAGACCTGTATCTTTTTGTGCCAAATAATGTGCAGCTTTCTTCTCGAGTCCATATCGCTTATATTTATAATTTTTCTTACAAATAAATATTACATTATCCACGGCCAATCTATAAAGTTTACTTCGAACAACGACTTCGTCAACTGTCAATCACAAGGAGGTTAAAATGTTGTGTTTAGTTTCATAAAGAATGCATGAAATATAATAATCAGGTGAAAATGTTGCGATTGACTTCGATGAATGAAAGCATAGACTTCAGTCACCCTTGCAGATGCCTAGATTATTTAGCAATGCTCTTTTAACGTTATAGTTATATGGGAACAATTGAGAGAATTATTTTGTGAATTATGACCAGAGGAAATCATGAAAGTAACCGTGGCCTATATTAAGAAGTCTCCAGAGAATTTTTGGGAACTGGGGAAGACTAGGAAACATTAGAATTAATTATATGATATTTTGCTTGCTATTATCCAGACAGTAGAACATCTTCTCTGCTAAATAATGTCTTCACACTTATGATACATATCTGAAGTAATTAAACGCAGGGAGTAGTAACCTTTCACTTCATGCATTCACTCTCTTTTTACAGAGAATCCGTGGTTTATTAGTTTGTGACGTGAGGGGATACAAATTTTAAAACATAGGTTCCATTATTGGCGAGGACTTCGGAAGTTATCATTTTATCACAGATTTAGATATCTGGTATAACCTATTTTAATTATACATGCATTTTGAATAAACCACATTTATCTTAATAGAACTGTACCTATATGGATACCGTTATGGAGTGCAATCAGTAATGCACACGAACAAGGGCGTTATTTTTGAGAGGATGCGGTAGACGATATAGCTGTTATGCAAAGGCTGCCTAATAGAAAGAGTAATTTGATTACAATAAGGTCTAATTACATTTAATGACAGAGACTTGAACTGTAATGATAATGTGAAAGACAGCTCATGTATAGCCACATACGTACATCAAATTGTTAAAATTAATGCGAATAATATTTCAAACTATTAGAAAATACTTATTTTAAGTTAATAATATTGTAGCGTGTTTTGTGTTTCACGCTACAAATAAGTTCACGCCGTTGTATTTGATATAGCGTATTTATTCCACTCGCTCGCCTTACACACACTTTATAATCATTACCACTTGCAGTGTTACAAATACTGCTTACAATAGCTCGGCGATACTGGACTGCCTTCTCTGGCGGTTTATAGCAGACTCTCTTCTGCGGCGGATATTCCAAGACTGGCTTCTTAGACGGTTGGACAAAGACTGGCTTCTTAGGTGGCTGGACAAAGACTAACTGCTTCTCGTCGAAGCTGGGCTTTTATAACCTCGGCCGCTGCTAGGCAAATGAATCCTCTGTTATAGCAGTGGAAACGTTGCTTTGTTGGTTCCGCGATTCCTACGCAACGACCCATTTTTATTGCGTTGTCTCTGTGGGAACGCTTCGCGTATTCGTCGTAACCGTGGAGATTCGATGTTCTCTATACAACGGCTCACTGTTGGGATTACAGTATCGCTATTGTTACTTCTTATGCAACGGTCTCTTCTAGCGTTTCCATGGAAGTGACTCTTCTGGATCCCGACACGTTACAATATGAATGTTAAAAATGAGAAAAAAAAAGAAGAGTGAAGAAATGACTACTAAATCTATCCTGAGAGAACGTTGTATCCCGCAAAGCGAATTTATTTCTCCATACATGGAATATTATTGATCCCTTACATATCATATTACATATGAATGAAAATAATGACGCTGGTTGATAGAGGTTCTCCACAATGTCGGTTTCTGCAGTAACATCGGGACATCAGCCTATGTTTCAAATGCAAGTCAGCGTGATGCTAGACAGACCGTGTGAACCAAGGCGCAATTCTCACAGCTCCTGGGATCAGAAGTAGCCAAGAATCACCAGAGGTGTTGTTACTTTGTAACATGTCTCGAATGCTGAAAACAATGGGGGTCCAAACCACAGTTGGCGTTTGACTTCTGCTGGTACAGTTGTATGGGTATCGGCAGTGTTAAGTGAACCGGAGAGTAAAAACATGGTGAGCATGTCTAGATACTTTAGTCTGTCGGTGAGGTCGGTACAACGATAACGAGATAACCTGTATTTGGGAGAAATCTGATTCGAATTCCGTCCGGATTGACATCTATCCTGATTATGATTATAGCGAGTTTCGTCAGGCTCTCAAGATGAATGAGTATGTGGTAATTTTAAATAGGCTAGAACGTTTCATTACAAGTTTTTACATGCTCATAATCACGGCCATTCCACATTTGGAATTTCCGCGACCTTTCGCCAATAGAAACTCTGTGTAAAGATAAATTGTTAAACTAAATATGTATTTGTAAGTTTTGAGGTTTTCACGGCGATGACTATGAAGAAAGTCGTCTTCTGGGTTTTGGCACCGTGTATTCTTCGTTTTGGCCGACGTTTCGGAGGAACGTATCGCCTCCATCTTCAGAGCAGGTGAATGGCTTGTGAATGCAGAAAGCAGTAGCTGTAATTACAGCTGTAATACGTATTTGTTTTCCCCAGTTATGTGTCAAACAGTACTTACTACCTGCACCTGGTGAGAAACTTGATGAGAATACCATATCGTACTTGTATTATGCAGATTACAACTTGCAGGAAAATTTTGCTTTTGACGGAGTCCTATTACTTGCTGAGCATTCATCTTAAATTTAGAGTTTTCCATTAATTTTGATATTATAATTTAAATGTATTACTAACATTTTAGGCCTGTTTGTTCTTGCAGGACACAGTATGGCCTCAGCGTACTGGCACAACTCAGGGAGAAGTCTGGTTCTGCCGATACTGTACTTGCTCGCCATCTTACTTCAAGTTACTACTGGTAAGTTGTACGAAATATCATGTTACGCAAGGCTTCAGTTGTAGTATTTTGTCATTTTATTTAGAAAGCGAAGTGTTAAAGAACCTTTCTTTGCACATCCCATAATCGTATTTGGCCATTTACGTTTAGATCCTTCACGTTATACGAGGCTTCTTATCCCGTAATGAATGCCTTTTTATTTCTGAAAAAATTAACACGAAGTAACTAGGAAAAATAAGGGTACAAACTTCTTCAAAGTTTTGGTCTTAATTTTTTTCAGAAATAAAAGTGATACCACAGTTCCATTTATATGTACGTAATATGTAAGGAATAAGTAATCTTAGACACCCGGAAGGGGCGGGTCTCCTGCTTGGAGTATGAGCGGTGGCTAATAATTCTTCGACATAAAAAGCCAGCATGTTACGAAATGTTACGCAGGATCACAGACTTGGACGTATACTTGGAAACGACCTGAGAATCAGAAAATGTGCGTCAGAAACTGGAATGTGGAGTACGGAAAATCCAAACAGGAAAGTGTATTTAAAATAACTGTAAAAGGATCAACAAAGTAGAAGTTTAATTTAGTGTGAGTGCAAGTCAGATTGGACATAGACTCTACTGAACCAACAGCTATTATATACGTTTTCTTTGGAACTGGATATTACAATTAGTTATGTGATTTCTCATGCATAAAGGATTCATATTATCAGTTAAGAAGATAGATTTTATTAGTGATACGATGTTTTAGAAATACAGAGTAGTCGTTCGTGTGATATTGCTGTTCTTAACGAGCATGAAACAATTGAGTTTATAAGTGACGTTACAAATATCAACTCTGTGAGGAACTAGAACTTGTATTTAATGCACTGGTCAAGTGCCACATGACAATTTTTTTAGAATAGTCCAATCACCAAATTAGACAGCGAGGACGTTTTCAGGCGATTTGGAACGAGAGTTTACGAGGAAGTATAATGATAATATAGTTAGTGTAGTAAACTTTTCCGTGCCTAAATTCTAATTTTCGAGAGTACGTTGTTTCCACATCGCAGCATTCATAAATGCACTTGGAGCTCGCTGATGGAAAGACATACATGTGTATGTTGAAACAGATCATGTCGTGATGGATACGAGTCAGCATTCAAGTATACTTGATACCTGTTCTTTCAGGAACGCGGGCTGTGATACTGATTACCATTTTATGGTTTTACAAGTTAGGGAGAGACTGGCAGGAAGTAAACAAGCGGAAACAAAATTTGATATGGACAGATTCAATCTTGAGAATGGTAAAGGACAATTTTAATTCAAAACTTGAAACAGCTTCGCAGTTTTGGAAAACGTAGATAATAACCTAGGCATTGATTCTGCACTTGAGTTTTTGCATTCTATGGATATGGGTATTGTTGACGTTTAGGAAAAGCATATTGCCTCCATCTTCAGGTTTGAAGCGTATATATTGGGAAATATTTACCCAAAGCAAAAACTGTGGAGTCCGAGAAACAGCCGTTGCTAGGTAATTGCTGGGTAACATGCAACAATAGAGCAACTGTTGGAAGCGGTATTTTCTTTGAGGTCGTGCCGAGGTTGTACGACGGGGATCGGCTGATATTACGAGAGAGTTATGAGACTAGAGTTAGAAGAGTAAGCGGTTGGTGTGAGATGGCCTCTTGCCTGCAAAGACGTGAACCCGGAAGATGAACGTCCATTGTTGGAAGCCGCTACCAAGCAGCGCAGTGAAGACCGTGACTAAGAGCACTAGTCTGTGTGTGGTAGTGATTTGTAAAGTGTAGTCACGACGTGTCTAAGAGTCGAAAAAATCCTATTAACAATCCACACCTCGTCAATCATTTCTTATCACACGATAATATTACTTTTTATCTCTGTGCCTAACTAATTGAGCACTACACCATGAAGGCTTATGCGAGAGTGCAAGTATTCTTGACCTCGGCCCTATTTGGAGGTGAGTGGTTAGCTTCAAATCCTGGAAGTGTATATATAAGCTTTGTTTTTGTCCAGTATACCTACGAGATAAAGGTGGGGCCTGGTAACCGATTTGGGCCAATAGGAACAGTGGACAAGCATAAGATATTAAACGGCCCTTTTAGGGACACCACGTCCACCGAACTGTCATCGGGAATAGGTGTTCCCAAGCGGCCACACAGCCAAGTGCTCACTTGGAGTTAAAATTTCAAAGGGCTCCGAAGCAGCTCAGGAAATCCATTTCTAGACAAGAAGAAAACTTCCGCGTTACGTATGCTTTGGATGTAATTGAATATTTTTAAAGTTTATGAGTACCAACGGGATGAGTTTGTGGTAGTTAGATTCCAGAGGCAAGACAGTTGCTTCAGAAAGAACACTTATCACAATCTTTAATCCTAGGTTATTTTTTCACTGGCTCTACAGCCCCCTTAGACCCTGGCCTCTGATTTACAGTTTCATGATTATTTTGAAGATGGTAAGACTCCTTGGACGAGTGGTGAGCTCGTCGCAATGCCTCTACCTAAACCCAAGGCAACACAAAGACAGAATAAACACACACACAAAACATCCATGCCTTGTGTGAGATTCGAACCCACGATCCCTGCTTCCAAGCGAGCGAAGACGGTACAGGCCTTAGACCTCTCGGCTACAGTGACCTGCCCTGGGCTATTTGTATTTGTAAATAGAAGGGAAAACGTAGGAAAACTCGTCGTTACTGAAGAATAACAGAATAATATTACAACTGATCTTAAAGAAATAGTGTCAGGAGAAGTGGCTTGATTAATCAGGATCAGGATTGGGATCGGGGATCGGGAACAGTTGTGGCTCTCTTGTACACTGTAATTAAACCTGAGATTATATGCCAGGTCGGGAATGTCTTGTCTAGAGGAACGACTCTTTTCTTCTCAAGAAGAATCCTGCATCATGGGTTTCATTAATCTTTACTTGAGTTTGATATTCAACCAAACTACATTCTGTTGAAATATTTGCCACCTACCTTTCTGCTATTAGGACAGAGACCAAAAGTTCTTCCTTATTTTTCAGAAAACGACACTTTTTTTCTCCGTCTGACACCTTAATTTTTGGACAAGTATTTAATATGAATCAATGATCCTGATAACATTGTAATTTCATATGCATATACCAAGGTGGTTTATATACACAATAAAATATCGAAAAGGAACATATAATTAACGTGAAATTTGTCTTCGTAGGATCCATGTTTTGGTTCCGAGAATATAATATGCACGGGACTGTAAAATATCTACACTCAAAGGAAACCCAGTGGACTCCGTGTGGTAGAGAAACTCCACAAAAGGTAATAGTCACTTGGCTAATCAAGAAATTCCCACATGATTTAAAGATAAAACGGAAATAGAAACGCTTTTTTTAAGAGAGCAGTTTGCTTCCATATTAATATAATTCTGTTCCATCCTGTGTTCATGGAATACACCGAAGAGAATTAAAACCAGTATTCGAACAAAGAAATTCACTATTGGGGGAAGTAACAAGTTAAGAAGGACGGGAGAAAGCAAAGACTGACAGTATGTACTAGCAAGTAGCATTGTAATGTTCGCATGAAGATCGAATTTCTGGCTTGTGATAAAGGCTGTAAGTACATAAATAAAAGTCGTATGTTGTTACTTTCCAGTATTCTTTATTTAGAGATGGTTGACTGCATTGAGCAGAAACCTGTATGAAACGTGAACAAATTCATGTATATAATTTTATTATAAGCAGGTTTTACTGTGTGTACTTATACATTACATATGGGTATGAAGGGTGAGCCATAAAACTGGCCCTAGCACTGCGACCTTCAATGGTCTATTGTGCTTCAACTTTGGATTAACCCTTCTTTAATCCTACACTTCGAATGAAATGTAGGACTTTGTTTACGGGGGCGTCATAAAAGTCGCTTGGTTCCATGAAGAACTGACCCAGGTGGCGACGTGCTAAATAAGCTATAGCCTCAAAATCACATAAGATGTGTGTGGCTGATTCATCTTCTTGTAAGCACTTCTCAGAAGTAAGCACCCCTCTCGTCAGAGAGGATGTTACATAAGGACTATTACCGCAGGAGTTCAGTTGGAAAAAAAAAAAAAAACTCTGGTCGTGGGCCTCAAGGGGTCTGACGCCAAGGCGAACTGATTGGCGGTAAACCGCCAGTCGTAAAGTAACTGACTCTGACTCTGACTCTGACACAAGTTGTGTCCTCTGTTAGTCCCAGTTTGGAAATGTGTCCTTTTAGGTGGCAATGTCCAGTAAGTAATCCTACCACCCATCTGAGTTGATCTCTGTTTAATTTTAACAGGTCCCCGTTCTTTTGGCAGAGGGTCCTGTTATAAATCCTTTTGCCTGTATGAGTCCAGTTATGGAATACCAGTGTTTCTTTCTTTTTTGTGTGTGTGTGATTTCGGTTAGTCCGGTCCCTGATCGCTTTCTTGGCAACTCCTCTTATATATACGTGATAGAGGCATTAAGTTCATGGAATGTGGTTTTATCGCATCATATTACAAGGTATTCACATACACTTGCACAGATCCACATCGGCCCTCAAAATAGTTGCCGTTTGCCGCTATGCAAATCTGCCAACGTTGATATAGCTGGCGAAAACATTGCTGAAATATACTGGCAGGAAATCCCGTACGGCGTCTCTTGTGGCGGTGACCTCCTCGGACGACTGAAATCTACGACCACGTAGCTTTGCTTTCAAGCGGCGAAAGAGAAAGAAATCGCATGGTGCGAGATCAGGTGAGTACGGAGGGTGTGGCAAGACGGTGACCTGTTGCCTTGTTAGTTCCTCTTGGACAAGAACAGAGCGATGTGCAGGGACGTTGTCGAGTAGCAACAGCCAATTCTTCCTACGCCACATGTTTCGCTAGGGGATTTGCCTAGTTTTTGGCAGAACTTGATATTTGCTCATTGTTCAAACTGGCACATTTTCGATTTCGCCACTTACAGTTAACTGCAGTTCACAATAGAGGTCTTAGTTCTACTTACACTATTTGCACACAACTGCCTCTTGCTGTGACGAGAGATGAACC